AGCCCTGCCCTCAGCAGGCGGCAGGTCTCGTCGGCGCCGCCGTGGCCCCGGGGCGCCGCCCCCTTCGCTATTTCCCGGCCTCTGCTGAAGGAAACCCGGGATGCTCAGATTTAAAGCCGTAATTCCAACTTTTCCGTAACTCAACGAGGATTTCCTCCCCCCGCCGCCAATTTACATTGCACAAAAAGTCTTTTTTTTTTTTTTTTTTTTTTTTAACCCTTAAAAGGATCGACATGCCCAATAATTCTTCAGGGAGACAGAGCTTATGAAAAAAAAAATCTCCCACTTTTACAAGTGATGAAGGCTGTCAAGCACCTAGATGTTCCACATTCTCCAAAAAGGCCTTGCTACCCAGGCCTGAGGTATGTCTAAACAGGTAAAGTCCCCTGTTTTGGGCTTTAGGTAGCCCCTGTTTTGGTATGCAGAGATCGTGCAGGACTAAGAAAGAGTACGCACCTAAAATAAGATCTTTAGGAGAGATGTGAAAAGACTTTCCTCTACACCGGGGTGGCTCCAAAAAAAAAAAAAAAAAACACCACGAAGTTTCACACAAGCTTTGCTTGGTGAAGCAGAGCTCGTCATTTATTGCCCAACTTGTTCCTTTGCAGAGGACTTCCATCCCCCTGCAGAGTTTACATGAGATATAAGCATCCTCTGTCAAGGAAACTGGTTGTAGCAAATAACATTATTGTCCGTTTACAATTCGTTAGGGATGGATATGTATAACCAAGGTCCCAGAGACAGGTTGAGATTGGTTCCTGCAATATAGCTTTGATTTTTTTTCCTTGTCTTTAGAAGATGATTTTCCCTGCTGAAATTTAAGGTCTGATCCGTGCCGAGTTCTGTATCATATGAATCAGCAATGCAGGAGTGAAGCAAGTATTTTCTACTGAACTATCTAAACATAGTTCCTACCGTGGATGGAGTCTGGAAAATTATTTTTAGTTCTATGATATGTGTGTTCTGGTACTTGCTACTAACTACAGTACTCCCCCACCCCTGCTAGATAATTTTTTCCATCAAGAAAAAGCATCTCAAAGTCCAGCTGTGTCACCAGGATGGACTTTGCCCAGACACCTCTTTGTTAACAGCCTCCAGATATGGAGATCCCACATCCTCCTTAGGAAACTTATCTCGCTGCTTAAAATACTGCTAGGAGCTCTTTCCTAACATCTAGCATACATGTCCTTTGGAAAAAATTAAAACCATTACCATTTGCTCCTTCCACAGAAATAAGGAAAAAAGAAGCTCCCTCCAGGACACTTCATGCTTTAAAAGCTGTTATCATATCTCCTTACAACCTTATCTAGATAAAGCAGCTGTTTGTTATTTTAAGTTCCCCTTATAATTTGCTTTCTTTGAAAAAGCCAGGCCCAAGCAATACCACATAGAAATCTCTATCTTTCTTAGGAACCTGCTTTATTTCCTTGCATCACTCACTGCTAAGAAGAACAGCCTTTGCTCCCCTAGACAAGAGTCTGATGGACTCTCAGCAAGCTCCGATGCAGTAAGAATACTATGGGAGCCTCCCCCCTTATTAAATGCTACCAACCATGTGATGAAGATACTCACAGACATAAAGCAGTCATTTTCCACAGTAGGAGCTTTGGCATGCATTAGCTTCTGGGTTGAGCCAGTGCTTAGACAGTCAGTTCTCATTTTTCATAGGTGCACTGAAAGGAAAGATATTAGTGCTTAGCACTTAGACAGTCTGCTTTGGCAAAGTATGACCCCTTGTCAAGTATCATCCTAGGGGACTTCAACATAACCACCTTCACAAAGACCTTGCTAAAGACTTGAAAGTCAAAGATTGAAAAAAGCCCTCCGGGTTATATAAAGCTGCTTTGAATGAAATTGATTGGTCAAACTGCAAAAGCCAATTTTGAGAGTGCTTAACACCTGAATGTCTTCTCCATAATTACTTGCTAATTGCTCCACAGAATTTAAATAGTCAGGTAGGCCCTTCTTACTTTTCATTTAGTAAGTGCTTAGTCACAGTAGTCTTTTCTTTCATGTGCTTTCTTTAGTATACTTACAGTTTTTATCATTTTCTTTTTTTTTAATTTTAATAGTTTTGTATTTTATAAATAGCTGAACTTATTAGTCAAAAGCAGAATGGTTGGAAAGAACGGTGTGGGTAAGAAAAGAGCAACCACTTAAAATTTGTGAAAAAACAGTAATAGAAGGAGTTTTGTTTGATTAAAACTTTGAATAAGGAGATCTCTGAAATGAGTGAAAATAAAAAGCATGCCCTTTTCACAGTGAGCTTTTATTAAGCTTAGCTTATTTACTATATAGAAGTAGTTGGCAAAGACAAAATATATATAGTTAACATTAGTTATTCTAAAGCAGGCTCTGTAGATCTAGGGCTTTAGCTAAGATTGTGCTTTAGGCTAATAAAATTTCTACAGTGATAGACTTCTACAGTGATTCTACTTTGTTACAAAGTTCTATCTGAGGTGTTCTTTCTTTAATGCCTTAAGGCTAAAGCTTTTTTTTTTTTTTTTTTTTTTTACTAGCAAAATGCTAGTTTGAAATAGTCTTAGGAATAAACTTGTCTCACAACTATGCTATTTTTATTTTCTAGTAGAGGAAAAGCCTTGTATAGAGGCAAGGCATAGTCTTTATATTTTAAGCAAGTGTATTTTAAGGAATCCCAGCTCCTCAAGGCAGCTAGGAGTAAAAGTTGCACTGTCAAAATTTCTTTTGCTGTATAAAAAGAGAAGTCATTTTGTGGATATTAGCGTTCAGGCCCAATTAGCCCCAGGTTGTATTTGGTGAGCAGTCTGACCCTTGCAAGAAGCTAAATCCTGTAAGACAATAGTTTTCTGAGGATGACACAAAATTGTCTCTTTGATTACCTAATAAAATGAATGAAATTGTTATACTAGGTAAATGAGAAAACTGCAAGAGTATGTAATAAGTTAATTAGCAGTAAATAAAACTAAATATTTCCTTCTATCACTATGTGCCCCAGTAATTCAGAGTTTGCTAGACAATCACGACATTTGGAACTGGGAAGAAGTTTTTCTGTTTTTAGATGCTTTTTTTTTTTCTTCCTCTTTCCCCCAGGTGTTGGAGACTGACTGCAGCTAAAGTTAGGATGTGATGTTCTAGCTAATAGCATTAAGCTCTTCATGGCTTCTGTTTTCATGTGCTCAGGGTTAAACAATTTGTGAAGCATAGATTTGGCAGGAATTTTCCCCAGGGTAGCCTGGGACCATAGTAAATGTGTTTGTCCTTTTCTGCATATTTGCCCTGTTTCCATGGGGGATTTCAGTATAATGAATATCCTGCATTAAAAGCCCCTGGCAATGACTTCATCTCTTCTCCTTCTTTTTTATGACATTGGCTGCTTTACCAGAGGCCTCAAGTCTGCAGCTGTGCTGGGAGTGTTCTTGTGTATGGAACACCTTAGGGACACTTCTAGGCTAATATGTAGTATGTGATTATAGGGGCTAAGCTTGATCTGCTTGGTTTCTTACAAACCCTAACAGTTGGAGTAGTTGCTAGCCTGAACCTTCACCATCTCCACTGCTGTCATTCATCCTAGATGTGCTTGATCTAGTCCAACTGGAAAAGATGGGTTTTGCCTGAAGCTCTTCAACCTGTGCTTAAGCAGAGTGATCTGAAGACCAGCTCGGTTACAAAGTCATTCACTGAATGACTTCTTTATGCTGCAGAGCTTTGTAGATTGGGCCTGCAGCCTGAGTCCTGAAAGTGTTCAGTGTGTGGGGAAACAAATGTGGCAGCAGTCAAGATGGAAGGGTGTGTAGGTATCATCAATCTTAGGGAGTCTTTCTGAACTTAGTTCCTTCTGAGCTGACAGGGTACTATTGTTCAGAGCATGTCTGCTACAGTAGCTTTAAGGCTTGTGGGTTTTATGGCAAATTGATGTCTGTTGGTTTGGGGAAGGAACTGAATGAAGGGAGGCAGCTGAAGGGGAATGTGCTCTGGAAAGAACTGATTGCTGCTGCAAGAGGGTTTCTTGCAAAATGTTAGTGCCAACCTGGGCTGGCACCTGGCCAGGACCTCACAGAAGTGGGAGTGGTAGCTACAGCACACACAGTGCCTCCTGTCTTGGAGTAAGATACAAAAATAAGGTTCTGTCCTTCAGTGACCTTGGAAATCCTCCAAGGACTCTGCTAGCCTGGCTTCTGACACAGAAGGAGTGTAGAGACCTGAATGATGGCTAGTGTTGTAAAACTTGAAAACGTAGTTTTAAAAGATCCCGTAGTGTTAAGTAAACATAGTTTTCTGTGGAAGTGTTTGAGAGATTTGTGGGAACCACTTCTCCATTGAATGGATTGTAGAGTCCTTAACATAATGGGTCTCTCTTCTGGCTCTTTCTGACCCAAGCCCCTAGGGAAAGTAGCTACTTCCCAGTGCTACTGAGGGTCAACATGAGTTCATGTCCATAAACACTGTGAGGTCTTGGCTAAACAAAAGAGCATAGTGTAGGACCAGATCTTGAAATGTGACCTATATGGTCCTATGCAAAACCTCTCTGACTGAAATACCAAATGGGACCAGAGACATCTACAGCACTGGGACAGTCTTTTGCTGTGGAGAAATGAATAGGTAGCAAAAAGGTTTATTTTGGTATCAGTAGCATAATAAGTGGTCATTGATTTAAAAAAAAATCATTACTGAAAAAAGTGGCAAGAATTGTTTTGCTCTGACTTGACTCATGTCCTGGTGTTACTGTTGAAGCCGTGGATTTTATGTGCAGCACCTCCTTGATTAGAACCCATAGCTGTAAACTTCTCAGCTTATTACTCTTGCCAATTAAAAGTTGTGACATATTCCAAAGCCCACCAGAGTCAACAGCTAGTGTCTGACTCTCTTGTGCTTTAGATCAAAAGCTATAAGCATTGCAAGAAATGAGAGTCTAATCTACTCAGGCTCCAAAATTCCTTAGCCATAATAAAGTACTAATGCCCCTACCGAGGGAGAAGTGTAGGTCAGGGAAGTGTTTAGGAAATGCTCACTGCTGGCTGGAAGGATCCAGCTTTGGCAGTTGTGGCACCCCAGTCAGTGAATCTCTTGTACTCACCAGGCTTCAGGAGAAATCTAGCTTCCTTTGAGGACATGATGTGACTGGATGTTGCTGTGGTGAAAATCTTCTTGGAGAGAAGGGCAGTTATCCATTAACTCCAACATCTTGCCTCTGAAGTCATTCTTGTTGTTGATCTGTGCTTCTGGGACTGTGAAGGCAAACCATGGATGTAGCCACTGAGACCTGCCACCTGACATCCTGTGCAACTTGCTGAACACCTTACTGATATTAGTAATGTGACAGTGAATGGCCACAGATACTTGGAGAGAAGTCAGGAGTAAACCTGACTAGGCCCCTATGCAGTGCAGTGGTAAAGTGAATTTCTTCTGCTCTGGGGAGAGCAAGATTTTAGTCACTTTAGGGAATTTCCTGAAGGGTAGAAAACAGAAGTGGTAACCAGTGCAGATCTCCACACACTGGCTTTAGCTTGAGGTAAGAATGAAAGTGTGATGTATATGGACAGCCATAGCAGTCTTTGTTTCCTCGGTATTCCTAGGTGTTGATGTAATAAGATAACCCTCTGGGTGGGGCAGAGGTGAGTTCTATATGACCCTATTTTTGTTGTACTGCTTTAGTTGAGCAACTTTGTTCAACTATTTGTCTACCCAGTCCTGTGCTTCAGGACCGTCTCTGAGTATTCAGCACAATAAAAATCTGATATAGAAAAATATTGACTGCTCTTGTCTAAAGTGCTCAGTACAGTTTTTCTAGTTGTCTCTGGCCATCTGTTCAAGTGAATCGCACAGAGCAATGTAGTCATGTCCTCTATAGGAATAATCTATTGCCCTTTTGCAGTAGGAGGTTTGCTTAACCTCAGTTGTATAGTTAAAATGGTACAGCTGCTGTGCATGAACCCACACCTTACTTAAATGAAATGTCAATGGCTGCATCTGTGGAATCAGACTTTTTGAACCTGCAAAATTCTGGATAGTCTTGTACTGATCATGGAAAGGACATAGGTAAAATAATCTTTAGAATTTTTTTTACCCACTATGCTAATCTAGTCTATTTGTCCCTTCCTGGAGACTTCCTATCAGTCATCTTGTCCAAGCTGATGCTCCCTGATTTGTAGCTTCTTTTTCTACAACTTGAAAGATCATAAGATTCTTTGTGCTAGCTCTTAGTACTTGGACCCAGGCCTGGGTTGGCTGAGTGCAGGCTGGAAATGCATGACAGGAAAACAGCTGCAGTGTCCTATATAGCTGTGATCCAGCTATGATGAGGAGCTATGTAATCCAGCTATGAAGCTCCTACTAGACAGAGCAAGTTTAGTTTGTGCATTGAGTTTACAACATGCATGAATTCAGACAGATTGTATTCATGAACACAGAAAGGATGTGTTTCATCAATGCTCTTCCTGGGTCAAACTGCAAATCCTTTGCCTTTTATGTCAGAATACAAAAACCTCTCAATTTTTTCAACTTCTACTCTTAGTAAAACTTTACAGTTTTGGAGAATGAGTCTTGTGGGGTAGGGGAGACCTTGCATAGAGGCAGGGATAGCTCAGCTAGGCCTATAGATTAGTGAAGCCCTGATGTCATCTTCAGTAGGATAGGCAGCCCATTGCTGGTATCTTAATTTCTCTACTATTCCAAATAGCAGGAAGGTATCTCTTTGGCATCTTGGAAGGGGGCCAGCTTTGACCATAACTTCATGCTGGAAATTTTCCCCATTTTCCCAGAAACACTTAATGTCCAGGAGTTGGTAGGTCAAGTGCAGCCTAAATTGCTCTCTGACCCAAGACTGCATGGACAGGTGGCTTCTGCTGTGCAGTTTTTCAGCTCTCTGTGTCCCCTTCACCCCGTTCTGGGCTTCTGTAAATCTCCTGCAATGTAGCCTGTGGACAAGGCAGGGAATAATTCTCTTGCACCTAAACTCTGTGCTGAAGCTTTCTGCTCTTTTTAATGGTTAAAGGAACAAAACACTATTGTGGCCAACAAGAGTTAATCATTTAGCAATCCAGGTCCCCCTGGGCAGCATTATATTAACCAGGAAGTTCAAGTAAAAATTGGTTACAGGTGATTAAATTCAATGGCATTGTTTGGTATCTAGTACATTTGTTTATATTAGAGAAAATACTGCAAACTTATTTTCCTCTAGGTCTGAGAAGTCTAAGAATATATTAACTCTGATCTTTCAACAGCAAACTCAAGAGAAAACTACCCAGTCAGAAAAATGAAAACAAAAGTTTATTACATGTAAATATTTTTACGTTGGAAAGCTTCACTGTATACTAAAGGTATTATTTAGAAAACAAAAGCAAAGACCTAGATAACCGAACAACCACTTGGGGTTTCCTCTCTGCTAATTTGTTGGTATACTGACAAACTGTTTGCAACCACACTTGCCCACAAGGAGCTATACTTGTGCTTGGCTGTTTCAGTGCTCTGTTCACTGAGCTCTTCTAACCTTTGCCATTTTTGCCTACTTTAGCTGCAAGACTTTGGTACACAGAAGGAATCAGCAGCCCTTTATATGGAATGTACAGTGCTGGATCCACAGGAATTGAATAAAATAATTTTTTTTTGCTCAGTAAAAGGAATGAATTTTTGTGTTCCCCCCACCTTTCATTGTCATTCTCTAACTAAAAGAAAATAACAATGATTTGTGGGTACCAACTTTGTTACTGTTAAGGATCAAAGTAAAGATTAGATCAAACAATATTTCAATTATTTTATTGAGGGGAACATGCAAGTGAAAGTGCTGGTACTGCTGCAGCAGAGTTGTTTCATGTCATTTTACTTTTAATCTCTTTCTGCTTGCTGGTAATGAGAGACAAAAGCTTTCTGAGTCATATGAGTTCTTGGTGACGATGCTATAAAACAGTTTGTGCAGTACAGTAATAAAAACTGCCCTGGTTTTCAGTGGTCTTCAGACTAAGTTTTACTATCAATTTAGTTTAACAGTAAGCATATGTATGAGGTAGAAAATTACATATCCAAAAGTGTTGGGTAATGGATATTTATATCTATTCAAATCTCACAGCTGAAATCTCCCTCTGGAACAGATTAGTGCAGCTCTGGAGTTGGAGCAATGATGCCTGGCACAAGCTAATATCAGTTTGTGAAGTACACCTTCATTAGAAGGCATTGCACAAAAATGGTGTGATTCAAGAACTTGGAAAAACTTTTTGGAGAAACCTGAGAACAGCTGGGGTCAGAGTGGTTACAGTCACTGAAGGAGTAGGTCAGTGGCACAGAAGTTTGTTTGAACCTTGAGGCACGCAGGTTTTGATGCTAAATATACAGTGTTCACTGTGTTCTGTGTTCCTCTACATTCAGCTGTTTTTTTCTTTCTCTGTCAGTGCTTCAGTAGATGAAAGTATTAATGTGAAGTTCTGATTCTTTTCTCTAAGGTTTCCTCAGTTTTACAATTTCTGAACTAGGAATAGATTCCAGCCCTTACCAGGGTACTTATCAGGGGTAGCAATACATAACTGGATCTATAACAGCAATTTAAACTATCATGTACTGTGGAATAGCTGGTTAATCATGAATACAGTAAAAAAAAAAAAAAAAAAACAACCAAACAAAAAAAAACTACTTTGGTTTCTAAACAAGCTGGTGGTTAATGCACATTTAAGCTCTGTCTCCTCTGCAGTTTGTATTTGAAGACCTTGCTTCCCCTACTCCTCTCAAAATGTGAGAGAAACCAGGTTTTACACTGGAATTGCATAGTTGTAATTCTTTTTTGGTATTGAAAGAATATTAGATTGAAAAAGGGCTTTGGAATACATTCACTGTTTACTTAGCATGGGTGAAAAAATTCAGTGCAAATAAACCAGCCTCTGTAAAAGCCCACTTTGGTGTTTACTCGAGGAATCTTCTGTATTCCCCTGGTTTCAACAAATAGAGTTGTCCCCTGAAACAGAGTGTCTTGTACAAGATCCAGGAGCCATCTAAAATGTTGAGGGAGTGGATCTCACAGAGATGAATGTGGTTTGAGGCTGTTGGACAAAAAGTTCCATAGGAACTTAAGGAAAATTTTCTTAACAGTGAGGGTGACAGAGCACTGGAACAGGCTGCCCAGAGAGGTTGTGGAGTCTCCTTCTCTGGAGATCTTCCAAACCCGCTTGGACGCAGTCCTGTGCCACGTGCTTTAGGTGATCCTGCGTGTGCAGGGGGGTTGGACTAGATGATCTCTAAAGGGCCCTTCCAACCTTAAGGGTTCTATGATTCTAACATTTGACCTTGGAGTTCATCTTTTTTTTTTCTTTTTTTCAGAGCTGAATCTTGTGGGAAGCAAAATTCTGCAGAGGTAAATGGCAAAAAGGTAGGAAAGACTGAAATGTACCTGATTCTGATAATTGATCACAGAAGTTATCACAGCCTTTGCTGTGTGTTTCTGAGAAACTGTATTCCCTTATGTAGATAGGGAATTGCTAAAATATCTGTTCTAACAAACTTAA